ACACTATATGAAAATCTTTCAAGGGCAACTCCAGTCCTAGTTAAGAAAAGGAAAAGTATGTTAAAAAGACTGACAAGAAAATAGTGAAATGTTACAGTTAAAACTCACATTGATTAAAAATAAACAAAACTATAACTGTTTGAATTAAACACAGCCTTCATTATCTGTAACCACACAGACTATAACTTCTAAAATGAATGAACAGCCAGAGAGTATTTTTAGTGATACTTTAAGTAAGTTTATACAGACAACCCGGCCTAATGTACTACAAGATTCTAAAGTACCTTTGGAATCATTAAGAAGCATATTACATTTGTTGAGTTTTACTGGTAAGTATATGTCTTGTACTTTGAATATTGATGTTTTGCCTAAGGAATCAGATCTTGGCATGTGGCCTAAAATATATCTCAAGAAAAGGGCTTCATAATCAAACCAGTTTAAGAAATACTACACGCTCTAAACACCAACTAGAGATTCAGAGTATTTTATGAAGTCTCTGACAAGTTCTGTATGAAAGAACTATGATGGATATAGTTTGAGCCAGTATAGATTATCCAATATCCCTTATCCCAAATGCTTTGGACCAGGATTTCAGGTTTTTTTGTAATTTGGAATATTTGCATTATACTTAACCAGTTCAGCATCCCTAATCTAAAAATCTGAAATCTGCTTTTTTGTGTGTATGCAAGATCTTAGCTGGGCTTCGGTAGTGGCAGCTCTTCTCTGAGCTTCCCAATGCCACCCAAGGACGACAAGAAGAAGAAAGATGCCAGAACATCAGCCAAGAAAGACAAAGACTCAGTGAAGAAATGTGGCAGCAAGGCCAAAAAGAAAAAGTGGTCCAAAGGCAAAGTTTGGGACTAGCTCAACAACCTCGCCTTGTTTGACAAAGCTACATATGACAAACTCTGTAAAGAATTCCCAACTACAAGCTTATCACCCCGGCTGAGGTCTCTGAGAGACTGAAGATTCGAGGTTCCCTGGCCAGGCCAGCCCTTCAGAAGCTCCTTAGTAAAGGACTTATCAAACAGGTTTCAAAGCAGTAAGTTACACCAGAAATACCAAGGGTGGAGATGCCCAGCTGCTGGCGAAGATGCATGAAGAGGGTCCAACCAACTGTATATTTGGGGGAAAGAAAAACTTTATTGAAAAACAACAACAACAACAAAAAAAATCTGAAATCTGGCCTGACACAAGTGGCTCACGCCTGTAATCCTAGCACTCGGAGAGGCCGAAGCAGGAGGATCCCTTGAGCTCAGGAGTGGAGAGCAGCCTGAGCAAGAACAAGACCCTATCTCTACTAAAAATAGAAAAAACTAGCTGGGCATTGTGGCCAGCACCTGTAGTCCCACCTACTTGAAAGGCTATATGGCAGGAGGATGTCTTGAACATAGGAGTTGGAAGTTGCTGCTATGAGCCAGCCTGAAGCCACACTACTCTGGCCTGGAGCAACAGAGTGATACTGTCTCAATAAATAAATAAACAAATAAATAGAATAAAATTAAATTAAATTAAATTAAAATTTTAAAAAGTTCCAATCAGTATTTCCTTTGAGCACCATGTCAATGCTCAAAAAGTCTTGGATTCTGGAACATTTTGGAATTCCTATTTTTCTGTCAGGAATACTCTCAATCTGTATTTCTCAAATTTCCTTGACCAGGGAACCATTTCATATACTTATTAACAATCCACAAACTGGCTCAGCACCTATAGCTCAAACAGCTAGGGCGCCAGCCACATACACCAGACCTGGCAGGTTCGAATCCAGCCCGGGCCTGCCAAACAATGACAACTATAACCAAAAAATAGCCCAGCATTGTGGCAGGCGCCTGTAGTCTCAGCTGGTGGGGGGGTTAAGGCAAGAGGATCACTTAAGCCCAAGAGTTTGAGGTTGCTGTGAACTATGATGCCATGGCACAGGATGACGGCTTAAGACTGTCTCAAAAAAACAAAAACAAAAACAATTCACAAACTGCCCTGTGGAACATACATGGGACAGACAGCAGAGTAGGGCACATCACTGTTTAATTTGAAAATACAATTAATTATTGTATTTCCCAACCACAAGACTATAAAAACTTCCCAATAAAAAGAAAAGTTAAAAAATATACTAAAAATAGGTTGGGTGTGGCAGCTCATACCTGTAATCCTGGCACTCTGGGAGGCAAAGGTGGGTGTATAGCTGGAGCTCAGGAGTTCAAGACCAGCCTGAGCAAGAACCAGATCCTGTCTCTACTAAAAATAGGAAAACCAGCCAGACTTACGTGACACCACAACACTTTACCCCGGGCAACAGTGAGACTCTACCTCAGGAAAAAAAAAAAAAAATGAAAAACAAACAAAAAAACTTCACCCAATGAATTTCTTGTTGAAATTTAAGGCTATATGGACTTACTGCATTTTAAGAGCTTTTTTAATGAACTAAATTGGATTTTGAAATAGTCATACAAACTAAAATTAATTTGTAACTTGACTTTGCTAAACTTCTGGAAGTTTATGTTCTCTAAAAATGAATTTCTACAGTATATTTAATGCCTTATAAGATTTATTCCCTTAAAGAAAAAATTTTAAACTGAAAAAATGCTATTTATTTACCTTTGCTGTATTATCTGATATGCCTATATATATCTGTAACTGAGATGTGGTATCAGTATGTACATATTGATAATAACAAGTATTATTTCATGGTTTTGTTGTTGTAATTTATAATCTGACTCCTGCTCTGGAAAATACTAGTATTATCTGAAAGCCTATGGTGGAGGCCTTATGAAATCAAATATCAAATACTAATATCGTCTTAAAGCCTATAGTGGAGGCTTTATGAAATCAAATTCCAATGACTAAAAATGTCTCACTTCAGTTAACAAAAAATATAAACATTTATTTAGCATGCCACAGCATGAGGCATCGTAAGGACGAATCTATTTTGGGGGCCCCAACACAAGACAATGGCCTGCCAATGTGGCAGAGTATTGAAGTAGGAACTCTTAGAAACTCACAGACCTAGAGGCACTGTAAACAGCAGAAGAGCAAGCTGCTGTCCTGGGAGGCTGACATCTTATGACACCCAGCTCAGCACAAAAAGGGCTAGAACACTCAAGGCCCTCTTACTAAAAGGGCTACTTTGGGGACCAGGTGAGGTGGTTCATGCCTGTAATCCCAGCACTCTGGCAGGCTGTGGTGGGTATATTGCTTAAGCTCACAGTTCCAGACCAGCCTGAGCTTTAAGCAAGACCCCGGTCTCTACTAAAAATCGAAAAACTGAGGCAAGAGGATAGCTTGAGCCCAAGTTGGAGGTCGCTAGAAGCTAGGACACCAGGGCACTCTACCTAGGGTGACAGTTTGAGACTCTGTCTCAAAAAAATAAAAAAATAAAAAATAAATAAAAGGGCTACTTTGGTCATCTAAAAGTATAATTATTAGTTAATGCAAAATAACCAATGTTAGATTTGAGTCAAAATTTAAAAGCTTTTAAAGTTTCCACATTCAACTTCACCTGTGTAATGCTTTTAAGCCAGTTAGGTAGGCTTAATGCATAATCTTTCCATTGATATTAAAAGCAGCCTAGTCAACAACCTACCATCTTAATTAAGTTTCTTCAAAGATTCTATAGAAGAAGGAATTTAACTGCTGATAATCAAAACAAAGTTTAATTTTCATTTAGGGTATAAGACAAGTGGCGAAATCACTTCAACTATTATGCAACATTTTAAAAGGTATCATAATAGACTGATAGAAACTTGAAACAGAAAGTAGATCAAGCTATATCCCTCACACTTCAGAGCAGTGGTTCTCAACCTTCCTAATGCTGCGCCCCTTTAATACAGTTCCTTATGTTGTGGTGACCCTCAACCATAAAATTATTTCCGTTGCTACTTCATAACTGTAATTTTGCTACTGTTATGAATCGTAATGTAAACATCTGATATGCAGGATGTATTTTCATTGTTACAAAGGGGTCGGGGCCCTGAGAACCGCTGCTTCAGAGGTTTAACAGTCCCTCAGTAAGCAAGAAAAATCAAGAAAATTTTGCAAATTACCATTTTAAAAATTGGTAGTGAGAGGGATAACATTCAGCAATCTATGGCCATGCACACGCGCTAGTTTATTTTTTACTAGTTTAATAAAATGTAGACCAACCCGTGAGTTCCAGCTTTAAGATTTCAAATCAGAGAACTGGAAAACTGCTACTGTGTGCCTTAATGAGTAAGTTTTTCCTTTTTCTTTTTTATCTTTCCTTTGGAAATCCTTAACAAAGACTAAGCTTAGAAACTTTGACAAAACATAAGCCAAGGCAACATGCGCTAAAGACACGCAATTTAAAAAAGTCACAAAATGTCTCAGTATGATTGCTTAATAGAAGACTTTGTTTTGCTGAACAGCTTCAAAAATAAGAGTTTCGTATGGCGTTTTGTAATTATATGTGCTTTAAATACGGTATGGATGCTAATAAACGTGAACCTCAAATACTAGCGAAACGAAGTAAAGGTGATGTCCCAGATTACACTTTAGTAGCCACAAAGGAAATGGAAAACTGCAGCTGTGAAGTAAAGGAAGGAAAACAGAGCGGAGGGTTCAGAACTTGGCTTCACAGGGCCAGCCACCCTTCCCTTTCCATCACGGGAACCAAAAGCACCAGCCAGGTTCGCCCCGCTCTAACACTGCGGGGAGCGCCAGGAACCCTGGGGGTTCCGCCGTAACGCTCGCTCTCCGAGAGGGAACGGATTCCAGCGCCTCAGTCAAGCCCACAGCAAGCCCCGCCGCTCGCGGCGTCGGATGTGTCCGACGAACGTACGAGGCGGCTCGGAAGGCGTCCTGCTCGTGAGCCTGCTACTCAGCGGCTTGGGCACAGGTCAGTCCTCTGCTAGGCGGGCGGCTAGCGTCTGTCAAAGGCACCCACAGTTTGGACAAGCGGGCTCTGCAGCCAGGGAGGGCGCCCCGCCCGACCGGGCCCGAGCTTCGCCGCAGACGCGGAACCCCATCCGCCCGGCACCCCTTACCTTCTCGCCGCTGGCGTCGCGAGGCTCAGACTCCACGAGGCCAGCGCCGCGAGCCGGGGGCGAGGCGACCCTTTTCTGGCCACGTGGGGAGCACGGCCCACCGGACGACAGCCGTGGCGCCGCGGAGCCAGGCGCGTCCTCGGCCTCCTTGCCGCGTCGGTACACCTCCTGGCTCTCGGAGTTGTGGATGCTGGGGGCGCAGCCCATGCTGGCGGTGGCGCCGCGGACACGCTGGCGGGCAGCCGCGATCCGCTCAGCAAACGGCCCGCCCGGCGCCTCGGGGCGGCCGCGGGCGCCGTGTCATCGCCGCCTGGGCGGGCGGGCGGCGGCGAGCGCGGGTCTCGCGTCAAGAAGTGCGGCCGCTCTTTTATCGCGGTGCGGGCGCGGCGGCGGTGAGGAGGGGGCGCTGCAGCGGGTGGCGCGCCGCGGCCGCCCCTCCGAACATGCCCTTCCTGAGCCGGCAGCCGCCGCCGCCTCCTTCACATCCCCGCGCCCGCCTCAGCCGCGCTGCGCTTCCGGGGAAATACGGGGAGGAGACCTGCACTCTCCTAAGCCCAGAGCTGGCCGGCCAGAGCCGCGCTAGAGCCCCCCCACTCCGGGCGGAGAACTCCCTGCCGCGCCCGGCCCGGCACCGCTCCAGCTCCGCGGCGCCACCGCCTCCCGCGGACCCCCCCTAAATAACGGTGGGCACCGACGCCGCTCCGCCTGCTAGGCCGCCGCCCCACAAAAAAGCGCCCCCGGGGGCAGAGCGCGGGTCAGGGAGAAGGCCAGCCCTAGGAGCACCCGCGGTCCAGGGGTTGAAGCGTCGAGAAGCCCATTGGGGCGGCCAGGCTGCGTCCGCCGGAGCAGAGAGGGGAGCGCCTCTGCTGCAGCGGGGCCTGCGGCCGCACCGTCGAAAAACGCAGAAATCACAGAGCGCACCCAGAGTTGCGGGCCGCCCGGCTCCGGCCCCGCGATCCTAGCCGGGTGTTGCCTGCAGCACTCCGCGCCCAGCCCACAGCGGTGACCTCCGGCGGGCGCTGGCGTCAATGCAAAGTAGCTGGGGCGCCTGCTGCAGCCTCTCGCAGCCGCCCGCGACTGAGCATGCGTGGCCGCTACTCAGGGACCGGTGAGGGGGCGGGAGGCAATCAGCCAGGTTGCCCTGAGAAGTAAAGGGACTTGCCCAAGAACACACAGCTACCTCCGGCCCGGGGCCACAAGAACCCAGATCGTCAGGATCGAATCCTGGCTCCGTAACTTAGCTGCGTGACCTGGGTCGGGAGCCTTGGAGCTGTCATCTATTAAAGACGCGGTGGAAGGACGACCTCCCTTTGAGGGTAAATGTGAGACGTCTACGTGGGCGCCACACTCCCAGTTCCAGCGGGGTAGAGGGTGGCCACCTTTGCCGGGAGCCGCAGTCCATGTACGCTTCTCGCGCGCCAAAATCTGTCACGCCACGCCTCGGGCTCTACAGGCGTCTGGGCGGCTGCGAAGTTACACTTCGTGGCAGGCCGGGGACACCTGCCCTCTGCGATGGAGACCCAAACGCACCTCTCTGACAGAGCAGAGCCAGGGTAAGGGGCTGGTGCCTGTGAGCACCCTCAAACTCTCTGGACACACACCAACGTCAGATTGCTGTGTGACCTTAGGCCAGTCACTTAACGTCTCTGTGGCTGAGTTCCTCCCCCTTCAGCTGGAGGGCGGGGCCATCGGGTACATAACTTACCTGGGAAGCCACCTCGAACCCCCGCCAGCTCTCCCACCCTCCCGGGGCTTCCCGTCTCCGGAGACCCAGGCGCGGTGCAACCAGCCCTTAATTTACTCTACCGCGGTCCACAGCTTTCCTAGCGCACCCCTGGGGCGACCATGATTGGCTGCCCAGGCCTGGCTACTATAAGACCCGGAGGCGTGCGCTGGGCGGAGTCCCTGCTGTCAGTCCAGGTGTGCTGTACTGGCCCAGGTGCGGGTCCCTTTGGGCAGCCCAGGCGCTCTTACCGCCTGGATCTTCCCGCCCAGCCCCCGAGGTTCGCACTGCGCGGCAGGTATTCCAACAGTGTCGGACCCAGGGAAAGCGAAAAGGCAGGGTAACCAGAGAGCAGCTCTGAGCGATTTGCCCTTGCTATTAGCCAAACTGGCGCACATCACTGGCATGTGGCTCCATTGCTAAGTTTAAGCATTTTAAGCAATAATATGTATACCTTTGTGCTTTATAAAAGTACCACGGAGTGGATAAACATGTCCTGAAAAACACAGGAGAAGTTACCACCACCCCTATTCTGCCTAAATTGTAGTGTGTTTTCTGCCTTTGATCTACAATTTTAGGAGATAATTTTTCTACGTGGAATCTGGACCTTCATAAATAAAGAGTAATTCATGGAGAAAGTACTTTGAATTACCAGAGTTCATGGAGGTCTAAAACATGCACTCTCCTCTCTGTCCTGCAGAGGAGTGTGGCCTTGACTAACTGGAGGCTCTGACCTTGCTGCCTCTGGGACTCCAGGCTGCTCCAAGCCTCTTAGCTGTCCCCTTGCAGGCAGACCTCAACATCACTCCCTCCCCTTGGAAATCCTGAGCCAGGTGCTAATGAGGAGGGTGGGGGCAGGAGCTGGGACAAAAGATGGCATGTGCCCAGCCCCCTACCTGGCTGCCTTTTGGGTACCTTGGGCCATCTTGAGCTAGTCACTTGCCCTCTCTGTTCCCAGAAAACTGTGTTGATTGAGCTCCACTTCTGCAATATGGGGACTCTAGACTTACAGAGTAAGTCTTAGCCTATGGCTAAGAGCTACGCAGGAGCAAATAGGAAGGTGGGAGTCATCTGTCTGCTTCTGGAATCTCAGAGAACACGCTTTTTCTCATGCTCACAACTTCAGCCTGGGACACTCCAAGAAGTCACAGTTAATTCTATCCCACCCCTCCTCTAGCGATAACCTGCACCTTGAGGTCCCTGAACTAAGTACTTACTCCTCAAGTGTATGAAACCAGAGTTTCCCCAGGCCTCAAGAGTGGACAGAAAGGGATCACACTGACAGAAGTAACCCAAACCTCAGCCAAAGGGGCCACTTACTAAATCACCCAGGGTTCCCAGGCCCCTGCAAAGAACCCCATCCCTAGAAGGCCTGTAGGCAGTTCATGAACAATCCCAGTCATTTTGGAAGGAAGGCACCCCTCACTATGTCAGCCAAGTGGGAGCCTCATAAATAGAACACACCCTAAGTGTGACCTCAGTCCATTTCACCCAGGTGGAGGGAGCCCAGCTAAGGCTGCTAGACTGCCCCCACAGCTCAAGCTGCTAGTCAAGTTGTTGATTTCAGTTCTTACTCCCAATGGCTAGGAAAGGAGACAAACCAATGGACCTAAGCCCAACCTCCCTTCAGCCCCTTACCACAGCTTTGTGGGTTCAGGTTAGTCCATTTCCAGGAGATTTCTCAAGCCTCATGCCCCACCCCCCTCACCAGTTCATTTGAGGCATGAAGATGCTGGGTCCTGCACAGCTTACCTGAAATCCAAACCTACTCTGCTTCCATACCTATTAAGGTTGGCCCTTTATACAGGGTAAAATAAGTATTTTAAATTGCACACAAACTGTATGGCCACCCTGTATAGGCAGTTCTCCCTCCAGCTTTGCTTCTCCACCCAGGGGTCAGCCATTCAAACCCTGTACCCAGGCACCCAGAACTTTACTCTCTCCCTCCCCCCAACCTGGGCTAGAGGCAGCCACGGTGAGAGAGCTCTTCTTGGTGATGAGCTCTTCCTGCCATCTCCTAGACCTTGGGCTCCTGACTTCATCTCTGTGACCCACTTTCCTCTGTAAATCTAGGATTAATATCTACCTCACAAAGATTAAATGGGTTAATTGATATCAAACGGGGTGTAGAACCTGGGGCCTTAGGGCCACATGTAGCCTTCTTGATTCTTGAGTGCAGCCTTTTGACTGAATCTAAATTGTATAGAACAAATCCTTTTAATAAAGATATTTTTTCTGTGAAGTTTAGATTTGGTCGAGGGGCTACACTTGAGGATCTGGAGGGCCACATGTGGCCTTGAGGCTGCAGGTTTCCCTGGGCTTTCTGCCTCCTCCTGGGTGGATTTAACACCCTTTCCCCAGTCCTGCCCCCCAGCCTGCTAAAAACTGGAGGAGGAAATGAAGTTACCACCACTACTTGAGTGTGAGACTCAACATTCCTTCCTATCTGTGATATCCAACTTTATGTTCTTTTCTCTAACTTTCAAAATTTGGAATAATACGATTTTCCTGAATTGTCATAATTTTAAAATTACACATTCTATAATTTATATCTGAATACATGCTGGAAAAATTTTAAGAAATTCCAACTTTACGGAAGTTTATATTGTGTACAAAGATAAAGGACAATTTTTCTTCCTTCCCCACTCCCAGAGAGGAGAGTGCTACTCATAGTGTGGGCTGAATGCTTTCAGACCTGTCTCTACATTACAAACACAAGGACTGGTGCACTCACACGTACAGCTATTACAGTATTACAAGCAGGGTTACAGGGCTACCATGAACATCCTTGAGTGTAACTTTTTCTGCTTGATCTAAAGGCAAGTACCCTCAACCCAGCTCCAGAAAGGAAGAGGAGAAATGGAAGAGAAGCTGAGAGACTAGAAAGGGAAGCTCCTCTGCCCCTAGAAAAAGGAAGCCCGTCTAGCCCAGGGGCAGGGCCTCTCTGGATCATCTACAGAATCATCCACCTCCTTTATTCCTTTCTGCACTCTTAAGTTTTAAGTCAAGTGTTTTTGAATGTTCCAGCCTTTGTCAGATAAGGGAGGAACTGGGTGACCACCCTTAGGCAAATATTGTAAAGACGGAGCAGCACCCCTTGGAGACTGGTATGGTAAGGGACTGAGATCCCAGGAGGACTTTCCCACCACCTCCAGAATTCAGGAATATACTTGTATCTCCCACCTCTCTTTGGCTCCAGACTTCACTTCCTATAGTGCCCCTGGAGCCCTGGATGGACAACTCAACATAGACTCCCATTCTCCAGTGACTTGTGACTGCCACAGTCTCAGGCTCCTCTACATCAACAGAGAGCTGTGACCTCAGTGCCCTCCCCACATGCCTAGCCTGTGACTTTCAACAATTTCCACCTGAAGAGAGAATTTGGCTTCTGGGGGCAAGGGTCTGTGCTGGCCACCCCTCCTTGAGGGGAGGAGCAAAAGAGAAGCTAGGAGTCTCCTGGCCTGGAAACAGCCTAGGATGCAGCTGTGATAGCAATGACACCTGCCAGCCTGACAATGCTGGGCTCCCTGCTGCTCGCTTTCCCAGCATTAGCTCATTTAATCCTCCTAACACCTGAAGTAGTTGCTGTCATCTCTCCTCTTCCTCCATCTCCCTCACCCTATTTGACACATAAGGACACAGGTTTTTTAGAACCAGGTCTGATGCAGGTTTTTAATAAAACCCAATGCCTATCCTTTTTTTTTTTCTGAGATAGAGTCTCACTGTGTTGCCCTCAGTAGAATGCTGTGATGCCACAGCTCATAACAATCTCAAACTCTTGGGGTTAAGTGATTCTCTTGCCTCAGCCTCCCAAGTAGCTGGGACTATAGGCACCAGCCACAACACCTGGCTATTTTTTGTTTGCAGTTCTCATTGTTATTTAGCAGGCCCTGATTTGTTTAGCTCAAACCCACCAGCTTTGGTATATGGCTGGCGCCCTACTCACTGAGCTACGGACGCCAAGCCCCAATGCCTATCCTTCTCAAAGACTGTTAAAAATAGAAGAATGCTGGCCTGGCACCTGTAGCTCAGTGGTTAGGGTGCCAGCCATGTACATTGGAGCTGGCGGGTTAGAATTCAGCCTAGGCCCACCAAACAACAGTGACAACTACAACCAAAAAAAAAGCTAGGCATTCTGGCGGGCACCTGTAGTCCCAGCTACTTGGGAGGCTGAGGCAAGAGAATCGGTTAAGCTCTAGAGTTTGGGGTTGCTGTAGCTGTAACGCCATGGCATTCTACCCAAGGCAACCGCTTGAGACTGTCTCAAAAGAAAAAAAAATAAAAGAATGCTGCTTTAATACAATGAAGGATATTTATTTCCAACTGAGAGCTTTCCAGATATTTAATAATGAAACACTAAACCACTCCTCACAGTGGCACTCAGCAGGTACACTTTTAAAGAGAGTCCCAAGACCAAGAAAGATTTTACTAGAGCATGACTAATGGAATCATAAATGAGGAGCAGTAACCATCTCTGCTATTATCTGATACTGTCTAGAAGTTCTGAGAGGTGCAATGAAATGTGACTTAGAAACTAGAGTTCAGATATCGTGCTGGAGATAACATTTACCATCAGCAACAAGTAGTAGGGTTTTATGTCCAAGATACTTAGGAATCAATTCAAAAGTTATTAACATGAGGCCAGGCACAGTGGCTCATGCCTGTAATTCCAGCATTCTGGGAGGCTGAGGTCAATGGACTGTTTGAGCTCAGGAGTTCGAGACCACCATGAGCAAGAGCAAGACACACTCTCTACAAAAAAATAGAAAAACTAGTGGACATCGTGGCACACACCTGTAGTCCCAGTTACCTGGGAGGCTGAGGTAAGAGGATCGCTGGAGCCCTGGAGTTTAAGGTTGCTGTGAGCTATGATTACATAGCACTCTACTGAGGGTGACAAAGGAGACTCTTTCAAAAAAAACAAAGGCCAGGTGTCATGGCTCATGCTTGTAATCCTAGCACTCTGGGAGGCCAAGGTGGGTGGATCACTTGGATCAGCCTGAGCAAGAGTGAGACCCCGCCTCTAAAAAATAGCTGGGCATTATGGCAGGAGCCTGGTGTCTCAAGTACTTGGGAGGCTGAGGCAAGAGGATTGCTTGAGCCCAAGAGTTTGAGGGCTGTAAGGTATAATGTCACGGCATTCTACTGGGGGCAAGAAAGTGAGACTCAGTCTCAAAACAAACAAGAAAAAAAAATTACTAAGATGAAAGATTTCTCTAAAGGGGCAGTTTCAAAGTAAAAAGGTATCTGCCATGGCTATTGTATTCTAGAAATAACCCATTGGAAAATATAATAATGAAAAATCTCAGTGAGTGCCAAGTACTATGCTGGCCCTCATATGGAACCCAAATTTCCCCAGGCCTCACCTGATATTGCAGCAGTCAGGACCCACATTTTGCTGGCTCCTCCTCCATCTTCTAAGGTGCACCTCCAGCCTCCAGCAACGGATCACCCAGTTGTTTCTGGGAGTGTCTGAAAAGTAGAGAGATCACCCTGTCATTATCCCTGTCCCTGGTGCCCAGTACCATGTTAATCGCTGGGCCTCCGGCATGGAATCCTGGTGCTGGGAAAGCCGGGCCCTAGTGCATGTCCCAGGGTGTAGAAAACCTTCTAGTTTCCAGGCACACATGGGGAAGGCTCATGTAATGGGTGACCCAGTATGTCTCAGTTCACTCAGGCCTCTCCTAATGTTAACATCAATCGCCCTGTATCTGGGAACCCCCCCCAGTCCCAGGCAAACCACAATAGCTGGCCATGCTACACCTCTGTCCCAGCCCCTCACCCTCTTACATGCTCTCACAGGGTATGACATGGGTCATACCCTGATGACCCATGTTGTCTCTGGGATGCTGAAGCCACACATTTGTGCCCTGTGTTTTGCTGAGTTTATATCTGGATGAGGAGCCCTTCTAATTCTGTACACAGACTTTCTCCTGGGAACCTGAACTCATGCCCACACCAGGCAGGACAGAGAGGTGCAGAGCCCTTCTGGCTCCCCATTCTCTCCCCTCATACAGGGCACATGCTCTTTTCCATGCCTTCCACCATCCCATTGTAGCTTAGGCTAAACCTAGAGCTTGCACTGCACAGCAATAGCCCCATCTAAATCTCCCTGAAGGCCTGCAAGCTTGACATTATCCTCCCTTGATCAGAGAGGAGATAGAGACTCACAGATGTTAAATAACTTGTCCTTAGTCACACAGCAGATGGCAAAGTCAAGTTGCCAACTGTGTCCTGTCTGATGCCAAAGCTCAAAGTATCTCCATTGTGCAAGAGGGTCCATGAAAATAAGCCTTAGCAATAACAAGTTAAATATGGGAATCAGGGTTGGGGGCAAACACCACCAATGCCAAAACACAGAACATGGAAAGTGAGGAGTGAGACACCCCACAATAGAAAGGGCTGCTTGGTTCCTGGGACAAATGTGAGGCAAAACGCAAAGCAGCACACTGGCTACCAAAAGCATTTGAGGCTTTTTAAATGTTAGCTGCAGTGATCATAAATCACTCTTTTTAAAGGTCTAATCCAAAATGACCCTCTTTTTCTCCATGGCTTCTTTCCTGATTCATCAAGTCCCATCCACTTGTCTGAATCATCCATCCCAAGTTCTGGATTTCAGGCCTACCATGTCCCATGGGAAAATAATTGTCATTCTCTTCTTGGGGAAGTGTGTCCTGTGTAAGTGTCCCCAAGCCTGTGTTAGAGGAGGAAATATCTGGGAGGGGGAGATTCTGACCTAAGGGGAAGAGGCAAGGTAATAGGCTGGGCCTTGTCACAACCAGGGTCCCAGATTTATCTCTTCATATATGAACTCTTTATTAGGCACCTATTATCTTTTGTCACCAGGCTGTACACTGAGAATACAGCAATGACAAAACAGCCCCTAACTTCACAAAACTCATAATCTGGTACAGGAGGCAGGCATCATTCAGCTTCACAAGAGTGTAATTGTGAGCTGGTGAGTGCCATGATCTACAGGAAGCTCTCAATGTGTATGGCAGTAGGAAATGACTAAATCTTGGACAGGGGATAGTGAGCACCAAGAAGGCTTCCCTGAGCTGAGACAGGAGTGAACAACTGTTTTTATGCCCAGCACCCAGTCAAGTTGCTCTTATAACTGTATCTAATTTTCTTCTGGGAAACCACAGTCACCCCTAGTATCAGCTTAAGTAGTCTGGGTGGGACTTTT